TGAAGTTTCATGCATATTTGGAATGTCTTAAGGATATTCATAAAGACAAAATATCAACATTCAAAAACATTAATACTCCCCTTCTTATTCTGGTGTCAAAGCAGCTAGGATTAGTTCAAAACAAAACATATTTAAACAGCTTCCTGTATTCCACCAAACCACTGAATCATGACAAACAGTTGCTAACTCCTCCTACAAAATTTACATTTACAGGGTATATAACAAAACAATGCTTTAAATCCCCAAATTGCCACAATAGTTACTACCAATTATTCTGAAGCACAGTTCTAGTAACTGTGTAGAATGTAGCACTTTGCATAAGTGTGTTTAAGTAAGTTGGTAGATATTTAAAAGCATTAAATTGATTAACAAAGTATTGAAAACGTAAAAGCGGTTTAGAGATTTTGCAAATGGGAAGGGGACCAAGAGCTGGGAGGAATTGGGGAATCAAATTACTTAAGATGTGTTATGTATATGAACCTCAACAAATGTAATCATATATACAGCAAACGTGTACTGATAAAAAAATTTAAAATATATTCTTTATGACTATATTATCTTATACCAATAAAACATGTGATTGTTTTTCAAAGGGAATGGTGATTTTTAAAGTGGCTAATATGCCATATTATTGAATGCTTATATAATATCATTGTGAAATTCAGTGTTTAAACTCAGATTTATATAAAGGAAAGCTATTTTAATGGTGAAAAAATACAATGTTTTACTTGAAAGATTCTCCCAGCTGTGTTAAAATATGATTATTCTATTATTGAAAATTACCTGTATAAAAGAGTATTATAAGAATTATCTTACCCTCTCAGGGTGATGCTTAGGATTACCTATTACAATCTAAAGTGCATATTTATCTCTTAACACACCTTGCAAATCCAGAAAAATTACTTCATTAATATGGGTTTCTGAAAGATAAGTTTCTTTTTAAAAATAATAAATGCTCCACGAACATTTTATAATGTTGTATAAACTTGGTTGAGATTTTCTCCAATATTTTCTGGTCTGCTTATTGCCAATCATGACCTGTTATCTTTTGATGAAATAAGTTAAACTATTTTAGTAGGCTTACTTTTTCATTAGTAGTTCGACTATTAGTCCCATATACTCACTAGATATAATGTTGTCACATATTCACATAACAATTATTGTCACTCTTATTGTATATTTTATAAAATAAGACATAATTACCTATCATTTTACTGAGATGAAACAATTTGTGCAATGTTAGTGTGTGATAATCAAAAATTTAAAAAATCATGGGGCTGGGGATTTAGCTCAGCGGCATAAACACCTGCCTTGCAAGCAGGCGGTCGTGAGTTCGATCCCCGGTACCGATAAAAACGAAAAAGACAAAAAAAAAAAAACGTAAAAAATTTAAAAAATCTCAGGTTAAGAAGAAATTGGTTGATATATATATATATATATATATATATATATATATATAATGAAAATTCATAGTAATTTCTATACCTAGGAGGAAAGTTTTTAAAAAAGAAAAATTTGACACGGTTTTTCTAAGGAACTTTATGTTTCTGCTGTGTTACTTCAATAAGTTTTTCTGAAGATATATGGGTAATGAGACTTACTTCCTATCTAGGTCTGTTCCTCCTTATTAATTTATTTTTATTCTTTTCTAAACTTATTAAAATGACCTCGCTGTTGAACAGACTTGTCTGTTCTGATAGGCTTTCCTATATTATGCTGTTAATTATTAAGAGTCTAAGTGTTCCTCATTGGAGGAGTATCTATACTTCAGTGAGACACTTTTAGAGCCTCTGCAACACAAACACATGGAAGGCAGATGAGTGTGACTTTGAGTCAGAGGAAACTTTGAGGCATCCTCAAATTACTATGTGAAAGCATGGTTGCCAATTGTCTGGCCTGGCGTAGGCAACTTTCAGTGTTCAAACATGTAAAAGACAACACTCAAGGTGATTAACTGAAGGTGTTAGTGTAAGGACTGCATGTCATGTGGGCCCCTGAAAACATTAGTGAAGAAAGAAAGGAGGTTAAAATGTCGGCATTTATCACAACCCTTGGCCCTGGCAGTTCAGGATGAGAACCACCTGGAACCTTGAAAAAAAGTAAACTGTCTGTGCAGGAAATCATTGAGTACTAAAGCAGGGCAATTTGTAATAACAAGACAAGAATGTCTGCTATCCAATCTCCTTCCATCTCCCCTACCCTTGCCTGCCTTTAGTAATCACTTTTCTGTAGTGGTAGGAACTCCGAACATAAAGCACAAAAACAATAAGAATATGAAAATGGTAATTGTACTTTTGGATCAGGATGACATGTCACAATTTCTCGTTTTTCCATAAATTTAGAAAAATAATTTTAAAAGACAAGAACAGATGTGGTAAACATGTAATACCGCCTAACATTTAGTCCAATTATTAGGATAATATATTGGAATTCCATTCATTTAAAAATCCAGGGCAATCTTGTGAGTTGCAAAAAAGTGTGATAGTGAGAAAGAATACCCTATAATCTTTTAAAATATTTTAGAAAACATTTTTGAAGTACTGTGCTTGTATACTTAACACTTCATGTAGAATATTACAAAACAAGTTAAGTAGATTCAGATTCATGGGAGTAAAATTGATAAGTAAATTTGGAGTCACAGTTTCTGTATGTTTCACTTCATGCAGTAAAATATGATGAAAGCAATTGATTCTACTTTTGAGTTATTAGTTTATCCCTGTGCCTCAGTCTACCACATCAATAAAATCCTAAGACTGCTAGACTTTGCCAAATAGTATCCATACTGTTTAGGATGTCAGTTCATTTCTCTCTAATAAAAGTGAACTACACTGTGAACCTTTATTTTTAATCTAGATTACAGTCAAAGGTTCTGAGATCTTTGACCTTTCGACAAGATTTATAAAGCTAAGTTGTCTTGAACAACTGGTAAGGTTTTGATTCAAAATCAATTGCTAAGAATATTTTTTATGTGGCTGAAATACTCTAAAACATTCTCCCCTTCAGCATGGAATATAAGTACAGCTCCAGCAGATAGAATATTTCATATATCTTATAGATAGATGACATCTATCTATCTTATGGCTATCTTTTAAAACTATTATTTTAATTCATACAGATATATAATATTAATTATATTCCTCAAACTTTACATTATTTAAATATGATATGATTGATCATATTCAAATGTGAGGTTATTGGATTGAAATGATGATTTGAGATTACCAAATATTAATTGATTGTTTTCCATTTAAGCAATGCTACTGAATCAAGTATTGTTTTCCCTTTCAGTGTGTTTACCATAAATGAAAAGCCTGCTCTTGATATAGTAATTACTACTCTACCCACTAAAACTCATCCAGTTCTCTAAAGTTACTAAGCTACCTACATGTTAAGCAGAGTGTAAGATGCACACCAGGCATTGCTATACATTTTTGCCTAACTGCACTTCAGATATTAACTATAAATGTATGGAAAGATTACAGTCTGCTCTCTAAAATTCAATACACAGAGTTGAAAGAACACCTTTGTGTTCTTTACGAATAAAGCAATACAGCAAAGAAATACCTCTAAACTGGGTGATAGTTTGGCATTAGATTACACTATATGTGATAGGATAAAGATGAATGATTCTTTTATATATATATATATATATATATATATATATATATATATATATAATATATATATATAAATTCCATTTAAGGCTGGGGATTTAGCTCAGTGAAATATGCGCCTGCCTGGCAGGTGCAAGGTCAGGACTTCAATCCCTGGTACCAAAAAATAAAGTAAAATAAAAATTCCATTTTTAATTTTTAAAATAAACTGAAATTGACAAGGGAGTTTCTTTTTTTCTAATATAAAGATCAAATTTCTATAGATATAATCCAAATAAATAAATAAATAAGTAGGAGGAAAGGGGAGTGTAAAATGGACACTTTTGTATTTATATGAAGTACATTGGCTAATGGCCTTCATTACTTTCTTAGCAGCCAGTCCTGTTGGAAAGGGTATGGTTTGGCTGACCGTCTAATTTGAACCCCTGAGGTGTTTAGGCAAAATATGATTTTAAAACTTATTTTCATTTGTTTGTTTATTTAAAATGCTAACCATAGGTGACCAGTTTATTTACAAATATGAAAAACATTTGTTTAATAAAACCAACAAAACAAAACTCTACTTTCTATAGTGGCTCATACTAAAAATGATGAATCTGTATTTTCTGTAGCATTATGAGATTTGTTTTTTGGTTTCTTTTTTTTTTTTTTTTTTTTTTTTTTTTTAGTACTGGGAATCGAACTCATGACTTCATGCTTGACAGGCAAGTGCTGTACCGCTGAGCTACATCCCTGGCTCACCCTTATGAAATCTGAAATTGCTTTTTCATGCTTCTTTTTTCTAGGACACTTAAGTTTTCTCACAGTAAGTGTAACTCATGTAAGTTCTTTTCTTCCTCACATCCATTCTCTATGTGTTCTCTTGCTCAGCACTCCTGACTCTGCTGTAAATTGCTGGTGCCAGTTAACAAAGACTATTCTAGGCCTGTGTGGCTCTGCTGCACCAACTTTATTACATTTACAGCATGACTGAGTCTGAAAACATGATCTAAATTACCTACACGGGCCCACATTTGGGAACACATGAAGTGTGAGGATTACTATTATTATTCAGAATTGATATCACACTAGTTTTGCTGTTTTCCTGAAGGACATACTGGCTATTCTTGTTTTGTTTCTCACTGTTTAATTTCTTTCTTTAATTTTGTGAGAAAACATTTTGGGGGTGAAAATATTCAAGTTCCTAACAAATGTACAAAATGAACTAGACAAAAGTGAAGCCTCCCACTTTCTCTGATCATTGCAGTGACAGTTATGAATTGACCTATGTTCATCTTGGTTGGGACAATCAATATTGATTGTGAAGATGGCCACAGCTCGGCTCGTCATACATAGTGCTAAAGTGCTCAAGCACATTAATCAAGCCTCTGACACAGTGAAGTTCAAATCGAATGACAGCACTAACAGAGCTTCAGGGACTTTCCAGCAGACTGGATTTGAGGTAAGCTGGCACTCTCTCCTGTTTATGATTTACCACCTTGCACTGACACATCTTTTCTCAAGCCATCTGCTTCTTTTATATCATTAGAGAACAAGGCACAGGCCTCAGTTCTTGTTTATTGAGCAGCAGACTTGTTGATGACTGCAGATAGAATCCTTATTAATTCAAGAATTTGTATTTTCAGATAAGAATATTGCTTTATATGTATTGGAAGTCATATACTCCAGGAAAAGTGTTTAATTGGATCCAATGATTTCACAATTTGCTCTCATGAATATTTTAGATTCACTGGTATATGCATATGTAGTCTAAGCCTTGTGTTTTTTTTTTTTTTTTAACTACATGGTTAAAAAAAAAAAAAAAAAAAAAAAAAAAAAAAACTGACCAAAATCCTTATATATTTCACATCCAGACAGACTGCAAAATCCTATTTGCTAGTAAAATTCTCTGATTTCCTTTTTTCCAATTCTTCCTATCACACATAACCGGAAAATTCCTCCACAATGAATTGACGTACAATATGAATTTCCATTTTTAAAAGAAAAAATACAGTTTTAACAGAACTATTAAGATAAGCAGAAAAGAGAATTACTGCATTTCCAAGCGTTAACATATTCAGTGCTTTCCTCTCTTGACAAGAATAGCAGTGCAGATGTTAATTATGATATACTGAATGACTCATCAAGACACCTAAAATCCGAGGTCTTTGTGCCTGCTGGTCTTCCCCTGGGTTTTATAACTAGTTTCTGTAGATGAATAAGGAAATTGATCTCTAACAACCATTTAGCGTATCTTTACACTTCCTAGATATACTTCCAGAACAATTGGCTTACCATCAAAAATCATCTTTAGGAAAAGAACTATTTTAGTGTTATGTTTAAAAGGAAATTTCCAGTTACATTTAAACTGAATACTTCCACTTTCACTTGATGATTCAATTATGATTCAATTATGAAGAAACAGTCCCAGAGAGTGATTCATTTCTAAACAACAACAAGGAATTGAAATATATGTGTGTACCCCCTCATAGCACAAGGAGTAAGATGAAAAGAAAAAATCATTTTTTTTCACTAACAAAGCAGAACTACCTGCTTGAAACAGAGAACTGTTTGATTTCCTCCTAAGGAATTGAAGAAATTTATTACATAGCCTTCTTTCTTATAATTTGAAGTGTTGTTTCCAAAGCATATATTTTATGGGCAGTGTGGAGGATTTCAGATAAACTGATTTTTATTTTGTATTCTTACTGGTTTTGTTTTCCTTTGAACTTACTGTTTTAGGCCTATGGTTGCATCACATCTTGAAGGAGTTTTAGAGTGTGTGCTTCAAGCAAAATTCAGGTAAACTCAAAACTACCTTTAAGCTCACTCACGCATGTCAGGATGCTCACCTTTTAAGAAGTCCGAGGGACCCAGGGAAGATGCACTTATACCGTTTATGGCACTTTACTCAGGGACATTGCTCAGTGTTCCTAAGAAGAGCTGCAGAGTCACGTGCAGCATTTTACCTGCTTCCTTTCTTCTGTTGCACAACCTTGCTCTAAAAAATGTAGTTGAAGTTTTAGCACTTAAGTGCATGTGTATCCCCATGACACAGCCTCCTTCCATAAAATAGTTACACTGTTGCTACTCTCTGTCTTAGCTTTGCTTTCAGCTCTTTTGATTGTTTCTAAAGAAGAACTATTAGAGTACTATAAAGGGGCTGGGGATTTAGCTCAGCAGCATAAGCGCCTGCCTTGCAAGTAGGCAGTCGTGAGTTCGATCACCGGTACCGATAAAAAGGAAAAAGACAAAAAAAAAAAAAAAAAAAAAAAAGAGTACTATAAAATAAGATGACAAACTCTGACGACCTTGGGAAACCTGTAAGGTTTGGCTATTCTGTTGCACCTGGGAGAATATCATTGTGACCTTGCCAGACACAATTCTAATCTGCTATCCTGACCTTCTGTCTCCTTCACAAGATAGGAAAATAGATAAATCAGTGAATATTGTAGATAAAACTAGATATGCTGGAAGTATCCAAGTGACATTAGAAAGCACTTCCCTTCACCTCATCCTGTTCCACATTCATGGAGACAAAGTGACTTGGCAAAGATCACACAACTGTTTAGGGCTAGGTCAGGATTTAGAGTTTCTAATCCCAAACAAAATTGCATCTCTATTGATGACAGAAAACATTAAGTTTAGATTAATAATGGGAGTTAAAATAAACACTACCAGTATAAAGTAGAAGCGTAAGTGGCAAAGCCTCACAGGCCTGTGCAAGCTACTGATCATTCTGTGTAATAAATATCCTGGCAAAGAGAAAACAGCAGCCAGGGGAAGATGACTCAGAAAAACTGACTGCAAAGCAAGGACTGCAGAAAGTTACATTTCCTAAGCAAACAGAATAATCAAAACAACTTTGCAAACAAAGACATATGCTATCTGTAACCCAATATTATTCAGATTACATTATATTATATTAATCTTCCTCTAGTGACTGGAAGACAGAGAGTTGCCATGAAACAACTCTATTTCTCCTTAGAAGTTTTCATATGCTAAAGGTGAGTATATCTGAACACATACACAGAGAGAGAGCATTAATGATTCTCATTCTTATTCTGTTACATCGATATCTCTATATTGACTTATAAATATCATTCCCTCTCATAACTCATAGGCATATCACTTACTAATAGGAAGGAAAGAAAAAACTTTCACTTAAAATCTACAGAACTGCTCACATACTAGACAATAGAACATGGAGAGTCTCTGTAATACAGATTTGATGTCTGTTTTTACAGTGTTTTCTAGCTGCTTTTGGTTATATACCTAGAAAAGGAAGTGGCCATTTCACTCCAGCATTGGAAGTTGTAGACTTTGGTGAGGCAAGATGAGAAGGATCAATTTCATTTGTAGGTTTGTAAACTGTTTGCACCGAGGTCCACGGGTCATAGTTAAAATGCAGTTATGATGTCTCTGAGACTTATGGTGAATTGTCTTTAGCCCTTGAGATGGAAAAAAAGTTTCCAAGAAGCAAAAGTTATTTTAGGGGCAGAGACAATATTTGTGTTGAGTTAAACAATGTCAGTCTAGTCCACAATTAGCACTGACAAGGTTAAATGTCTGATTTACTTATTTTGAATAAGAAGGGCTTCAGAGATAAGAGGATGCCTTCATTTCCATTATTCCAGAATTTGTTTCTAAAAATGGGACTTGGAACGATGATTGTGTGTATAAATCATACACGGTATGTCTTTCTGTAGACTCACTGTTGCTTGTACATTTTTAAGCCAGCAATACATCTATGAGAGGTCATTCAGATTTTATTCACATACATTAAATCAAATGATTCTAGTTGCTATTAATAAAAACAAGTACTTTTAAATGATATTGAGGAAAAGTTACAGGATTAAATTAATGTATGATCTTGTGTCTCTGGAGTCTGACTGGATTAGAATGAAATAGCTTTGAACAGGGTTTCATTACACTGCAGTGCAACTAAACTGGCACACAGTGCCCACCTCCTGGGCAGATACGGGGTAGGAACAGTGGCTTATTATTATTATTTTTTACCTCAAATACATCTCAGCTACAATATTCTTCTCATTACTCTATCAAACCTCTGTCTAGTTTTTGGTTATTTCTGCTGCAGAAAACTCTGATAGACTTGTTTTTGCTAGCTATTGCTTCTCACTTTTTCAGCTAGGGCTGCTCTAAATACCATGACAACAAAATTATACTCCTCCCTTACCAGTCTGATTACACCTTCATGTGGTTTAAACTTGAGCATGGATGGATAAAATTTGAACTACTAAGTACCAGTGCTTCCTCATATACAAGTATGTAGTTCCACAATTTTTCTGTTGATATGGGTTTCCCAATTTTCTCACTTTACTCATCATTAATCCTTTGATACACCAGCTACATCTTCTCCATTATGTTACAAAGGCACTCACTGATAAAAGAGTGTTTTCATAAATGCATGATGCAGTATAATTCATAATAATTATACTACTATGGATGAAATTAGTTGCAAAATAATTCTAAAATCAGTTTAAAAACTTTAGACATGAAAAATGAATGTACTGAATTTAAGCAAATATAAACTATTACAATTATAAAACAAATACCCGGCATGATAACACGTCTATAATTCCAGTGCTGGGAAGGCTGAGGCAGGAGGGTTGTGAGTTTAAGGTCAGCCTGGGTAAGGTAGTGAGTTCAAAATCCACCATGACTACATAGTAAGACTCTGGCTTAAAAAAAAAATTATAAACAAAATTTCTCACCTTCTCAAGCTCAACTCAATGCCTCGGTTTCACAGCTGTGTCATTTCTCACCTGAACAAGCATTGCACCTTTAAAATGGACCCCCTGTTTTCAGTACCATAAGGGTGAGGGGCAAAGAGAACAATTGCGACGTGCAATGTGCATGTACCAACCCCTCACCGTGACTGTAATCATTATTCACTGCAAACATACACTAGTAAAAAAACTGAAAAAATAAGACCATAAATTATTTCAAGGGAAAAGCCGTGGTTTTTTTTTTTTTTTACATTTTTTTTCCTGCCCCAAACAGGCAGAATTATTTCCTTCATCCAATCATCTTTTGAAAAATATTTTTGAATGCTTTTCTGTATGAAAAAAATCTTAGAAATATTTATAAAACTGCGATAACCATGCAAAGTGAAGTTCTGACAACGCAATACATGTTAAGTTTGCTTTACATGCTAATGAAAAACCTTCCACAGCAACCCACACACCAGCGTGAAATGCTCTGAGCTTTTTGAACTAACAATGCTTGCGGTACCTGGGCTAACGTCAACCTCTAATTCCACACCTTGAAGCTGCAGACTTACATAGCTGATGGAGAGGGGAGTGACAGACTATACGTCTGTCTCTGTAATAGTTGTCACTTATTTTGACTTGTAGGAGTTGACTTCCACAAATGGGAAACAATTTGGGATTGAATTCTGAGACACCTAAGATATATTTTGTTTGAAATGAGTCTTTTAAACTCTTTTTTCTTTTAAACCACATTAGTTCCTTTTTATAAAATTAACCCAGGAGTAATAAAAGATCGATCTATGTACCTAGGTAAAATTTTGCCTTGTAAGAGAGAGCGTGGGTAAAGGCCTGGGGACGCAATTCTGAGCACCCATTATCAAGCGTCTGTGGCATCAGAGGCAGGGGACATCGGACCTTACCTCACTGCTCCTGGCTTTCCCTCCTTTATCTCTAAAGTTGCATAAAAGGTAACACCAGATTCATCAGAAGCTATCTTGAGTATCAGAAACCAACTACACAAACGTATTCAATGAAAACAGTGTATTAGCCCTATAAAAATAAAATGAATGATATATACCAATGTATCTCAATTATAAAAAGAAAATGAATGAAAAGGAAAAAAAAGGGCCAAACGTGGTAGTGTCTGCCTGTAGTCCCAGCATTTGGGAGGCAGAGGCAGGAGGAATGCTGTGAGTTTGAGACCTGCCTCAGCTACAAAGTTCAAGGCCAGCCTGAACTGCACTGTTGAAACTCTGTCTCAAAGAGACAAAAAGCAAAATCAAAACAAAATAGAAAGCTGTGAAACCAGGAATGACCTTAATTTTGTTTATTCTTCTGTGTACCTTTAATCTTGATAAAAATGTTTGTATTTTTCTACCATCCTTGGAGTTGATTTGATATCATCTGATGGCTAATTAATTGCCTTTACTTATTAAATATCAATGTTAAAAATAAAATATCACTGACCCTTTAAACATTCCATTAAGTATCAAAAATGAATATAGGATTTTTAAATTAGTTTTTGAATAAAATTCATCAATCAGTTTTTAATGTTCTTAGGTTCAGTGTCATCAAAGGAAGGAATGTTTTATCCCTGCAAAATAATTTTTGAGGTATTGAACCAAATTCTTTACCATATTATTATCATTTATTACTTTCATTCTGTTTTTTTCTTTGTAAATTATCAAAGCCACACAGAGAGTATTTTCCAGCCACAAATAACAGAGTTTCTGGTCTGTGATTCAAAGGCCTCCTATGATTTAAACTCATGAGTACCTTCTCAATATTTGAAGAAATATATCATGAAAACAAGTAATGCCTTAGCAACATATTATTATCATGTGAGGTGGGGGGGGGTAATACATCGTTTTTCAGTGGTTTTATTTTCCATATAAAAAAACAGAATCTTTACAATGTGATATTATGATCTATCATCACTGTGTATCAGAACCCTCCCAGTTGTTCTCATGTCTACAGAGCACTCAGCCTGCATGAGTATTGACATCTGTGTGTCTTAGGGCAGTGGAGTGGTTCACACTCTTCCCAACTGATCCAGTTAGCTGAGATGGGCTTTCTGCCTGGAGTGAGGACGGGCCCTGAGTGTGACAAGTGTGACTGACAGCAGCTGCACGGGTAAGCACTTTAGTGTTTCAGAATGATTTCTATAGTCGAGATGTGGTTTCTTTCCCCTCAGACAATGATCTTGAACTGACTTTCAAAGAAATATCATAGCAGATTTTCTCAAACTATCTCTAAAAATTGAACATTTATTTTTTTCAACCAGAACATAACTTTAAAAAATATTTCTTAAGCCCTATTTTGGTCTTTGCACTACAAAAGATCAGTTAATATTTTAAATTTCAGTTTCAAGTAACCAGTGCAAGATGTCCTTTTAAAAATGGTTTGTTCAGTAAGAAATTTTTCATGATTCTTACTATGCTATTTTCTCATTTACAAAAAAAAAAAAAAATAAGCTTAAGCACAATTCTTTTCAGAAAGTCCATATACTCACTTTATCTTGAACTTAGGGATTTGCCAAACAATTTAGGGAAATGCCAAACAATGTAGTGGAAGAAGAAAGAGTTCTAATTCATATCATAAGTCATACATCATTAACTGAAATAGGTACCACTACAAAAGAAACCTGTATAATTCTAGTACTCTTATAATTTCACTCTTGAATCAAAGCCCTCAGTCATAGTTGCCTACACGACTGTGTGGTTAGCAGACTCTGATTTTTGCTGAGATGTAGACTAGCTAGATTAAAATGCTTTACTTAAAAAAGTTGCTGTGTACTGATTCTGAGAGCTGTTTAGTCATTGCAGGTACAAATTCATTTCAAGTAGGTAATTTCAACTAATGATGCCACCTTTCCTTACCGCCTCAAATTTCCAAGTCAAGTTACCCTAAGAAATCTATTTTTTAAAATGTTTTTCAGGATCTGTTTTCCTTGAGAAAGTATAGCACAATAACGAGAATGTGTCCAGTTGTAGAAGGACACTATGATTCATGATGTTCTCCAACATCCTTCCCTGGGGCTAATACAAGGAATGAGCTTTTAATAAACTATGTTGAGGTCCTTTTTAACCCTTACACAACAAAGGATGCCCTGCTGTTTCTCAGTACTTGATACAGTAGGGTGTGCCTGAGTGTACACATTTGCATTATAGACTCTGTATGTGAATGTAAGTGTAGACAGGTAGGCTGAATGGAGAGTATGAAAACAAAAGATTTTTCTGAAATCATAAAGAAGACACTGTAAACATGAATTTTCTTGTCTGAGCTTAGCCAAAATTTACTGATGCAAAAAAGGTATTTCTTAATATAAGAAAGTGCTGTAGCTTCAGGAGGGGAAAAGGATGCATTACTTTGCAGCATCTATAATGAAAAACATCTGGTAGCTCTTCTGAATATAAACATTTTATTAAACACTTAAACTGCATCTTTCCAGTGTTAATTAAATGAATTTAAGCCAATTAGTGGATTAAAAACACTCTGTAAGTGCTAGATAGCAAGGATGCCTGAGAGCACTGCACTGTGTCACACTGGTGTTCTTACACACCGCTTGTACATGGTAGGAAGCATGTAGAAGTCATCCCCGTGCTTATTTCTATAGTTTCTTTCTATTTTGCTTTGCTTTTAATATTCTCTAGTCTAACAGCTTGGCACTGGATGTTTATTCAGGATGCTTGCTAATTCACCAAGTAATTGCTCAGAGGGTCCCATTTTAAGAATTGAAAAATAGAAGGGAGATCTTCTGCTTCCTGCTGATACAGTGACATATTTAGAAGTACTTGTCTAGGCAAGTGTCTGCCTCAGCATGTCCTACGGCAAAATTCAGCACCCACCAAAAGCTCGTGTGCATGCTGCATATTTACCATGTTTCAGACACTCATCCTCCCTGCCAACACCTACTGGGCTTCAACTATAACCCACTGGACAGGTTTGTTGCAGTTCTTGGTTTGTCTTTACATTCCATTCTTCAAAAGGAGGAAAATGCAATTTCAAAAAGAAAAAAAAATGCCTTTGAAGAAAAAATAAAGGACAAAATAACTTCCAGGAAAAAAAAAATTTTTAAAGATTCTTGTGGTATAGTTGTGTTATAGTATGGATCTCCAAAGCTTTCAAGACTTAGTTTTACTTGAAGAAAGAAAACCTGCACATAACAACACAATCCTGTATAAAACAAATACCCATAGAATGTTATGTGTTCAAGTACAAACGGCTTGCATTCATCACATTCAGGCTTCCCATAAGCCTGCTAAACTGACTACAGTACTTTAAGCAACAGGGTAACATTTTTTTAATGAAGCACACATCTGAAGGCTGGGAATTTTGCTGAGAATAAATGAGTGCTACGGGATATTTTATTTATGTCTGACATGATGTCTCACAAAGTCACTTCTCTTATTTAAGAGAAAATTATAGTTGGGATGATCCTGATTAGAAGTTGTTTGATTCAGTGTCAGTAAATAATTATTATATGCAAAGTTTTAATCTGTGCTGGGAAAACAAAGCGTGTATAGGTATATGTGTGCACCCTGAGACATGCTTAGTATTGAAGACAAAATTTTACATTGCTTGCACAATATAAGATAAACAAGACTTCATAATTTCCAGATAACACAGGAGACTTTTCAAATTAAAGTTGAGTCACATCTGATTGTCACTGGGAAAAACCCAGGCTCTGCAAATCCATTAACGAAAAGGATGAAGCTTGGCCAACACATATTGAAATACTATTACGGGAACCCTCTGGCCCCAAACTACATGAGTGCCAGAGGAAAAGTAAATAATTACAATAAATCTCTGTATTTGGTTTAACACTTGCAGGAATTTCTCACTGGACATGACTGTGTGCACTAGGAAATAACACAGAAGCTATTCAGAATTCTCTGCGGATTTGCTGAAATAAATTTTAAAAATAGCATGAAATGTGTTAAGATTCAATGAAAAACTTATTTAAACTGATGACCAATCTAAATGAGTTGGCAGAAGGTTTATTTTTCAGCAAATCCGTATTGATCCCCTCCTTGTTTCAGACAGTGAGACACAGTCTGTGAGGCACAGGAAATACAGGAGGAAAACAGCATAGCCCCATGAGGATTACAGTTTAGTGGCAATAAATGAGTAAACAAACCAGTCTTTCTCTACATGGACACTCTGGAATACCAAGTTCCTTGGCAAGAAAGCTACAAGACTTCACCTGAAGCATTATATATTTATTTAGTTCCTATGTTTTATTTTGGAGGTACACATTTAATGGTTTAATGTAATGGCAAAGAGAAATAGGAGGGAGGACTTGATAATGCCTGCTTGGCACTGCAGAAAAGATCATCGTTGATGGGATGCACATTGGGGCAAGTGCCAAGTAAGGGAGTGAGCAGCGAGGGGGATACCAGAGACTCTAACTTGCCAGCAGGTGACTTCTAAACAGCAAAACAAAGGCTGTGCCCAAGTGGTCTCACAAAGAAGAGGATTCAAAGGCATGCCATGCTCCTTGGCTCTCCTAGAAAGAAGTACCTTCCAAATCTGCAAGGCATTTAGAAGTGCTCAGTCACTTTCAACTCTGAAGTGATGCTGCTGTGCTCATTCAAGGGAGATGGGATCCACAAATGAAAAGAAGTCAGTGTGGGACATGGAGCACATGCCACTCTAGAACAAAGCCTTCAGCCTACTCTTCACAAGACATGGCAGTGGCTTTGCCATGGCTACTTTCATTTTGTCTATAGAGAATGTTGCCAACCCCCTTTACACATGCAGTCTCCTGTGATTTGTCATAATTCTACAGTCATCTGAGCTTGCCAATTGTTTACTGATTTATCCCTTCAGGTTAATTCACTTGTTCAAACAAACACTAAGTGTACAGACCTGAGTGCCAGGCTTTGGGGGAACACAGACTTTCAGAGGATGCAAAATTCTCATGAGTGAGTTGCATTAAAAGTGATAAATTCTTTGACAGAGGTAAGTTGTGTGCTACAAAGCAGGAAGGTTTGGTCTCTCAGGGGAGGTCTGGTTATGTAAGGCTTACAGCCTGGGAAAAGTGGCTTCTAGAATCACTTCACTTTCAGCAAAAGGAGCTTACAGTGGGTAGAGCAACACGCATTAAACAAGTGCATGCTCTTTAACAGAGCTCAAAATTAAGGTTTATATATAGAATTATGTTTCAAAATGTATGCACTTATCATCTCTGCTATTATACAGACTAAATAGGGATATGTTTGTCACTGTTCATTGAGATGACAAACTCATTTCAATGCAGTTCGAGTTTTGCTCTCAGCATTTATGGTATTATTTGCTCTCTTACATTGATGTTGACAGATGTGTGGTTTATATTTAACCTAAAGGTGGCATGTACAACCTCAAAGACTTAATTATGAGAGAGCTGGAAATATGTAAGATTCTCATGACAAGGAACACTTTCTGACTTGTACATCTTTCCATATAAAATACTACATGCATGGTAATATTTAAAAATGAAAGAATTGAGAACTTGGGTAAGAGAAATAAGCATATATGTGTAGATTTTCAGGAATTAGAATAGTGTAATATTCTCACAATGGTTGACAAAGGACAAGAGAGAGATTTTAACTTAAATCCAGTCCCAGACATTAACTGCAGAAGGCATTACAAATCTGGAATTCCCTTTGCTACACCAGTGAGTTCTGAGGTAAAAGTTATAGACTTGGTCTCCATGAAATCAGACTGTCAGGGGCCCATTCTCATCACAGCACAAACCACAAGCAACTTGTCCATTCAGAAGGCTCTTTCTTCTTCTTCTTTTTTTTTTCTTTGAGTATAAAATGGGGTTCCCAAGGATCAGCTACTTCAAAAAGGAAAAAAAAAAAAAAAAAAACTAATGTGGATAGAAAATTTTAAATGAAATTATCTAAAAATAAAGATACTTATTTCTGATTTCGCTTCTTCGTTTAGTCTTAAAATATATTATTTTAAAATAGAAAGATAAAGCATTGATAGAATTGAGTCTTCTTGTTAAAAGAGTTTTGAATTTTTTTTCGCAGTACTGAGTACTGAAACAAGGATCTTTCTCATGCTAGGCAAGATCTTTACCTTGTGAGCTATATACCGCCTCAGCCAGACCAAAAGACTTTGAAAGTTAATTACATTGATTAGAATAGGCATCAAGAAAAAGTTTGTTAAATTACTGGCCTAGGTGCTTGGTA